TGTTTTAGCGATCCAGCGAGACCAAGTTTCGAACGCCCACCATGCTTGGAAATACGACCAGTGTTGAGCCTATTTTAAAAAACGAAGCTCCTGCCATTTATCCCTTCTTCCTAGAGATTTGAAATCGGTCGCAGCTCCGGTGGTTTTCTCTAATTGTCACCCCTCTGAGCAATTCGTCGTGACCACACATCCGTTCGTCTGCCGAGATTTGGAACTCCATGGATCTGAGTCTTCACATGGCCGCCGTTGTGTTGCTTATAATTCTCGTAACTGAAAAACCGACAGCTCCGACGGCGAGTACCCTTGCTTTTTTGGTTCGTCGTCGCTGTAACTCCAGCAAGGAAAGACAAGCTTTGCTCCTTCGTGGTTTGTCGTGAACAAGGTCTACGTCTACCGACATGTTTCGGAGGCCGACGAGACCAAGCCTCTTCGAGGTCACCGCCCCTCGTCTTCTTCACACAGCCCTCACCCCGTGTTCGTCTTCCACGATTTATCACAATGGACGTCCATCCCCATGTTATCGTTTCCCCTTGGACCAGTTTCAGCAACAAATCACCCGGATTGTCGAGAACGTCATCAGATTTCTGGATTTCTGGCGTTTGAACATCTACTGAAGTCGGATATGATACCTCAACCGAATCGCCGATTTGTGTCGTTTCCAGGTATGTATGCTCGATCACAGCAACACGTATTGGCTCTTTCTTTGAAATTTCGATCGGTTTTTGGATCAACACTGAGCCTTCATGTTCTTCAGTCTTTTCCTCATGAATTTCATGAAAAATAAGATGTGATTCTAAATTGTTTGGTTTCTGGATTGTGGTGTTTTTTTGTTGATTTTTAGTGGAAATTGGCCTTAGATTTTTCTTATGAATTTCATGAAAAGATGGCTGAGAGTTTGGAGGGTTTAGAGTGGAGGTTAATTGGGCAAGAATTGGTGTGGGGTACGATTGAGCTGAGAGATTGATCTGGGGTGGTTTTGTTGTTTTCAGATTTTTGTTTTGAAGATTGATAATGAGTTGTTGAATAGATTTAGCTACCTGAATGGCTTGATCCAATTTTTGATTTACTCCTTGCATTTGATTCTGAAAATTTTGCCTTCATTCCATTAATTTGGCTTTGCAATTTCATCTCAAAGAGCTCTCTCTTCTGAATTTCCAGCTGCATCCTTTGTTCCAATTTCTTCTGTTGGTGCTCAAGATAACTGAGAGATAACTCGTCGTCCATCATCCGAGGATCGATTGCTCTAGATACCAATTGTTACGAACCGAGATGATCTTGAATTTTTTGTATGATTTTCTGATTTTTGTTTTGTTTGAGAAAATGATGAAATTGCAGAAGGGAGGGAGAAAGGAATAGAACACGTGAAAAGAGGTAGGGTAAATAGTTTGGGAGGAGAGAGAAACAAGAGAGAGAGAGAGTGGAAGTTGTTAATTCATTCCATAATCCAAATCATCTTTCCTACATGCCTTTTATATTCATTCACATGTCACTCACACAACTCACCACTTAATTCACATAATGGGCTATTTAATATATAGGCCCAAAACTAACATAATAAAACGAGTCCAACATAAAAGACCCAATACCAAAACATAAATTATCTAGACTATAAAATCGGCCACTCCATAACTGGGTACATGATAGTTCGGTGTATCCCTGTTTATCAGGGTGAAGTTGAGATTCGATGAGATGCTTCAGGTACCGTACAGTCGCGGAATCGGCCGCTTCAACCTCCTCGGCAAGCCTCCGAAAATAATCATGATCAGTCCATCCACTCGCCGATGCACTCTGCTGACCTGTCTGTACCAAAAATTTAAAGAATTATACAATATGCTCTATGAAAATTTCTATAAATGAAACAATACATGGAGATAAAAGAAAAAAAAAAAAAATTAAACAAAATTTAGGAAAAAAAAATGTTGAGCATGATGTTGTATAGATTTATTAATCTCGCAATTATACCTGGCTGCATCATCTCTAATGTGGTCCAGAAGCTGTGGATGTCTTCGGTCGTAATATCTCTACGTACAGTGTGTGCCTCCCTTAGCTCACAGGCACAAGAAAGTCCATGAGTGTATTTTAGTGCACAATCGCAGCGATTCTGTACATCTTTGCCGAAGTCTCGCATGTTCTGAAGCTCAACATTCAATATATCCATACAGTAATGCAAGACCCGCAGTGTCAACTACTGGAAAGGGAATACCCTATAGCCCGTACTCAACCTAAGTCTCGAAGACTCCAGCGTCTCCCTGGTAATACATTACATAACATTCGACCCAATTAAAATTTCTAATTAATGCATTAATAACATAGTCTTACTGTATAAATTAAAGAATATATCTGACTTTAGTCAGTTGAGAATCAATCTCCTTGTCAATCTTCTCCCAAACCGTGTCGAGCGAACCGGTCGACGTGTTAAGCCACCGCTTCAACGTAGCGTGGGAACTCTCCACTCTACACGATGTTGTGTTGCCAAATTGTAAGACAGTGTCCGTCCACACTTTGACAAACTTCTCTCTGTGCACTAGCCATGTCTGATCTACATATTCCAGCACACGAGGAAACGCCGCGTATGTAACAGCCATATCAGTTACGACAGTTTTGTATTTGTCCCACGTGTTCGCTTCCACAACCTTCTTCCACTTGCTGTGCGTGAACGTCTGCGCGAAGATCTTCTTTTTTTTTTGTCATTGTCGACGTTACTCAATAGACCCTGTCTTCCACATCCTTGTTGATGTGCCACGTGCAGTGTAAGTGGGGCGTCTTCGGGAAATTCCTCTGAATAGGAGTAATCAACCCCAACTCCCTGTCACTGACAATGACTGAAGGATGTACATCAGGCCCTATCAGAAGTCTCAACCGCTATAGGACCAGTCATAGCTGTACTCGATCTCGTCCTTGATAATTGCATAAGCAATTAAGAAGTTCTTGTTGCATGGCGTCATTCCAACCATCTCAACCAACGGCATGTGGTACCTATGCAAATGAAAGCAGCAAGAAGAAAAAACATAGAATCAAAAAACTTACTCAAACATACTATTTTAAGATTCACATTATATTGCTATTTATAACGTAATGTAACATACCTGTTGGTTTTGTACATGGAATCTATACCGACATACTAGTAATATGTCCAGAATAGACTGGCTGCTCCTGGATGCGACATGAACACACGTGTCAACTCCTGTGTGTCCGGGCCAGCATCTGTGTAAACTATGTACTTGCTGCCCCTAGCCAAATGCAGAAGCTGGCCAACAACATCTCTACCCTCCAGACGGTCTTTTCGCAATTGACCTCTATAGTTATACACTTGTCGGCAAGTAGCGTTGTCCACAGAGTTTTTCTCCTGAATTGCAGCCAAAATTACCTCCGGTCTTGCTTGAGCATCAGTCATATCACGGACAATCTCTTTGGATGAATCGCTGCGTCGACTTATCTGTCGATGACCCTCGGGATGCACAGCCAAAGCATGATTATGAAATCCCTTCTTGTCTTCTAAAGGAAGCCAAATACTCCATTTTTTGGAATTTGCTTCAAATTTGACTTTTATCAGAAAAAGCCAGCCAGTAAATTTAGTCTTCGAACGTCTTAAAACAGCATTCACAAAATTTTCTAGTTTTCCTGCCTTGCCTCTGTATTGTTCCCCTCGATGACACCTCAATGTTCGAACCATTCCATCTTTTTCGTGTCTCGAGATGACCAATTCTAAGTCATTGCAATGTCTTTTGTCCATTCAATAGCTTCCTCATGACTATCAAATAGCTCATCTGTAGCAAAACAAGATCGGTAATCTTCGTCGTTTCCTCCAAAATCTTCGAGTGGCACCTGCAATATGTTACGATGTATGTTAATAATTTTACAAAATAATGAATTATAACTTCTCTCAAAATAATAATAGTAATTTGTAATTTATTATATAATCAATTCAAACTTCTAACGTAATATCAATAAATTTTACGTTATAAGATAATACATTCATATATATTAATAATGTATACTAATATAAATTTTTCCTATTACATAATTTTATACTATTAATTTAATACTAAATACTAATATTATTTTTTTATATAAATTTTCTATTAGTATATACTAAAAAAGTTAATATATTAGTATATAAAAATTTTATTATTATATTACTAATAGAATTTTTAATATATATTATTATATATTAATATAACTTTTTTATATTAGAATTATGCCCCTAGCCATAATTTTCTTATATACTAATATAATTTTTAATTACTAATAGAATTTTTAATCTATATATATATATATAATAAGATTTAACATTTATTATAAATAGTAAGCAAAAAAATCTGTCAATATTTAATGCAATCTAAAAATAGTAACTTTTTATTTTACTTTTTTGTTTTTTAAATCGAGAAGCATTAATAAGTCTACCTATGATTTAGTTAATTTTAGTATTTAAATCTCGGATGACACCAACTTTCCACATTTATCTGCTTTGACCGTGCTTATCTCCAAAATCTCTCATACTCATCTCACCCAAAAAAATCATCTCCCTCATGTCTCACCCGAAAAAAAAAATGCAAATTTCTGAAAGCTAAAAATCCCTAGCAGCGACGGCAAGGTTCCGGATGACGGTCGGCCGATGACAGTGGAAGTAGCAGCTGCGACGGCGAAAAGGCGACGAGATCTGCGAGATACATTTCGGTGAATAGATCTCATTTTTTATACTTCCCGATCTACAACTTTTTCCATCCTTCTCATTGTTTTGCTTCAAAATTTGGTTTATAGACATCAATTCATTCTATTTCTTCATAATTCCAAAAGACTCATTGGGAGCGAGAAGGCTAAGGAATCATGAATTCGAGCTATGGATCCGTGGGCCCCACCATTTGACGCCCTAAAAATTTCACCTTTTTTTTGCTCCTTTTTTTATTTCAGGAATTGTGCCCGATGCGATTTTTGGCAAGGTTTATATATAAAGGAGTGAGTAGGATCTGTGATTTTTTTTAAATTTTGTATTGGGAGATTTATGGTGTTCTTATGATTTTTCCGATGTTAGTGAGTGTTCTGAGGTTTTTTAAAGTTTTAATCTTGGCTGCCCATGAGCGTTGTGTGTAGAATTTCTGCCTTTTTTTTTTAGCATTTATGCTTAAATCTCGAGCTTGGTCGATTTCTTGTGGGTATTTGGAGTGCTTTTTTGAATTTCCTCTGTTTGATCCTGTTGCAGCCAATGCATTCTTTGCCGGAAATTTTCCCGAATTTCTTGCATGCATCTGGTGGTGGCCCCCAATAGGGAGGAGGCGGCGACCATGGCCGAGGAACTCCTTTCCTGCATCTACATCGGCATCTGCATCGCCTTCTTCATCTTCCTCATAAGCCCAACAAGCCGTCCTGGACCCATCAGCGTGCAGCTGTAACGCCCCAAAACAATAATAAGAATAAGAACGGTTTCACTGCTCGACTATAAGTGAAATTCGTAAGTTCAGAAATTATCGAGTTATATTATTTATGCTAAATGCTCAACCATGATAAATTATTCTTTGAATAATTCTATCTCAAGTATAAGTTAATATTAATCCATTAATTTGGGTTGGTAAATAATAGCAAGTCAATTCGAGAATTTATCGACTCCGAACCCTAGTTTAGTTCCGAGTAAACTTTCGGGTAAATCCCGAGCATAGCCAAGTATTGGTATTTTTATACTTAGAATATTTTTCTAAGTGTATAATAACATCAAAGTATAAGTATTGATCATTTTAACCGAGCCCTAGTCCTTAGCCGAGCCGCTCGTGCCGAGTCACGCACCCGCGCCACGAGCCGCGCCCGGGAAAATGCCACCGAGCCCAAGGCTTGTCCTAAGCCTTAGTATCATGTTGCAAAATTTTTCTAAGTGTTTGGTTTCAAGAGAAGTCCCATGATCGGCCCAAGGGAGCCTCCACGCGCGAGCAGCCCACTTCCCGCGCCCAGCCAGCAGGCCCTCGCGCCCAGCCCGCGCCCCTCGCGCCCAGGGCCCAGTGCCGCGCCCAGCAGGCCCAGCGACAGCCCTGCTTCATAAGCCCAAAACACCATTTTTCGGCCCACTTTCCTCATGGCCCAACTCAGGCGTGTAATTAGGACTTAATGTGGGACAAATTAAGCTTAAGTTACCCTAAGCAATGTTTAAGGAGAATCAATTAGTGCCTAAGCCAATGGAGCATGTGCCACCATTATTTTAATCAAGGAAGTTTGTCCTTGTCCCCCACCATTTTGGATGCCCGACCAGACCTGTTTTT